CTGCCCTTCAGAAGAGACCAGAAATTAGATATTTTGATCATCCCCCCTCATGTCATTAATTACCCAGCCATTGTCAAGTTTGCACCATTAATCTTCCCACAGCTCTTTAAACAGTGGCTGAGAACACAGACAAGAGCACACAACAGATCACTGCCTAAACTTAAAGGGTATTCTTAATGGCAGTATAATCCCTTTCAAAGCACATTCACTGTCCAAGATACATACCTTCAAACTAGTTCTTTACATTTCATTGCTACAATGGGTGACTGCAATCAGAGAGGACTTAGCATCACGGTTTTGCAGCAGCTCTTCAGCCTTCTCATTTTCAGTTCTACATTTTTTATGTAAAATCTTCTTACTCTCTAACTCCATTACTTAATAAAGGCTGATGGCTAGTCCCACCATTAGCTCTTTCCTTGAAAAGTGCAAACTGCTATTAATTAGCACCTGCAAAACTGCCAAATATAAATCTGGGAACATGAGCATTGTTGGATGTTTAGTAAATTTTAATAGCTGGCCACAATTGGTGTGCAAATAGAGGTCCTTGTTGTAAAATAGATGTTTTAGGGAATAAAAGATGCATTCAAAAGGAGAGATTGGCATTCTGCGTTAGTGTAAAAATACTTTAACCTGTAGTGTGAAGGAAGCTTTAAACAACAAATAATTTGGTCTTTTCTCTATGTAATTTATATAGGTCATTAGACTGCATTCACCTGGTTTCTAGACATCTTTTTCAATTATCTTTTTAAGCAGATGTGGTAGTGTGGCAGGAAAGAGCACCTGCCCAGGAGACGTGGGTTCAACCTAAGTCTGGAAACTTCTGCTGCTAAGGCAACTTGAGAACTGGAGAACGCAAACTGTATGGCTACGTCTAGACTGGCATGATTTTCCACAAATGCTTTTAACGGAAAAGTTTTTCCATTAAAAGCATTTGCGGAAAAGAGCGTCTAGATTGGCACGGACGCTTTTGCACAAAAGCACTTTTTGCGGAAAAGCGTCCATGCCAATCTAGACGCGGTTTTGCGCAAGAAAGCCCTGATTGCCATTTTTGCCATCGGGACTTTTTTGCGCAAAACAGTTTTTAGCTGTCTACACAGGCCCTCTTGTGCAAGAGGGCTGTTTCCCGAACGGGAGCAGCATAGTGTTTGTGGAAGAACACTGACAATATTACATGAGATCATCAGTGTTCTTGCGCAAATTCAAGCGGCCAGTGTAGACAGCTGGCAAGTTTTTCTGCAAAAGCAGTTGCTTTTGAGGAAAAACTTGCCAGTCTAGATGCAGCCATATATATGTTTCGAAGGAGAAAAGGAAGCAGTAGAATTCAATCATTCTTTGCATGCCTCTGGCACCAGACAGAGAGAGCAAGAGAGCACAGCAATTTGTTTGGGTATTTCACTGCTGGAGAACTCAGACCGTTCTCCAAAGAAGGAGACTGAGACATTTTAGATGACATTTTAGAGACAGTTAAAGATATTTAACAAAGAGGGTTATGGTATCTGGATTTTGGACATGCTCTAAGGCACATAAACTTGCATCAGCAATAAAGTACATAAACTGGGTTATGATGCTGTTTGGGATAGGGAGAGATACCTTGTAAAGGTCACTAAAATATATTAGGAACTTAAGTTAGTGTGTGTACAATGCTTTGAAGATTTAAAAACTAAGATGAGAGAGAGAGAGATGAAAGCTTTGTGGCCAGTGGTGTGAGCATAGGAAGATCAGTTAGGAATTTCTAATCTCTAATCCACAGATCTGACACTGATTCCATCTGTGGCCATGAGCACATTGCTTAATCTTATTTGTATAATGGAGATCATACTTACTTCACGGGGACACTGGAAGATTTAATAAGGTGGCATTTGTTGAGTAAGTAGACACCCTCTGAAATAATATTTAAGTGCTAAAAATTATTAACAGCTTCTGCAATTTTAATGTCTATAATGGTGCGACAACACACAGTGTTACATAAAAGGAGCTCAGTATTGTACAAACTTTTAACAAATGTTTATTTCTGCAACACGTTTAAAAATATCAAAACCAACAACAATTTTTTTCAAATTCAGCAACTAGAAATGAAACTATGTTGAGTAGACTTCTTGGCTCACTAGACTTTGAGCTTTTCACTCCTACTCAAACTTTACATTTCACATTCGTCAATAGGAAACATTGTGTCCTCTTCAACCAAACAGCTTTGTGAGTTGCAAGTTCCAGATCTCTTTGTGAGACTTGTGTTGTGTTGTACGTTAGCACTGCGTTCTCCTGAGGGAAAGCTCACAAGTGGTACTGATTCATTAACAGTGGAGGTGTTCGTCTGCATGGCTGAATTCTTCATAGCACCCAGCCCCTCTGTAGCCAATGTTGAACCTGGCAAACAATCTGCATTTGCTGTTTTTGAGATTTTCTCTCTGCTCTTCCAAGGCAGAGACAGATGGCCTTTGCAAAAGTTCCAAACCAGCAAAGAAGAAAAAAGGAGTGCAAATCCAGCTCCCAAGAGTTTTAAAATAAGCTTCTCTTTTTGGTCTTCCAGGGATTTTTTTTTTGCTGGGTCATTCAGCAAGGAAGATGATACCAAAGATTTAACCTTGAGAGCTGCGTCTGCATTTGGTTGATTTGTTGTGTAATTAGGAATAATGAAAACACTATTTCGTTGTATATAAAGAACATAGCTAGCCATAGATACAGGGAATTCTTTCCCATTAGCTCTCTCTACAGAATGACAGTCATAAAATCCAGCATCAGCTACCGTCACATTAAATATGACTATTCCTCCATCATAAAGCAGGTATTTAGAATCTTCTGCCTGGAGACTACTTCCATTAAACTTCCACACCATCCTAGCCAGGTTGGACATGGGCACACATTTAAGATGAACACTGTTGCCAATGCTAACAGGACAGTCTCTGACATTATTTCCTGAAATTGTGAAGGTTGGTTTAATTAAAAACAACAATGTTTAACTTGCATCGCCACATAACATCAAGATTAATTAAGTAACATGACACAAAGGACAGTGAGTGTTTTAAGGTGTGTGCATAAACTACAGAAATTGACAGATTTAACTGTCTCCCCCCATCTGCTAAAAGGGCATGACAGCACAGATTGGTTCTTGCTGGCCTTATTCCCAGTGATATCTAACAGCCTGAATATGGGCTGGAATTCAGGAACTTGAGTTTAAATTCTCATTTTGCCACAGACTAACATAAGTATATCTCTTCATCTTTCTTTGACTCAATTTCTACACCCAATTTGCACGCTTCCAATTTTACCCTTACAAAGCAGTTGTGAGGATTAGATACTAGCTGGACAGGGCTTTTGAGCTTACAAATGCTTTCCTCTTCACCACATTACACTGATGTCCTAAAATCTCCAATAGCTGCCTTTTAATTTTAATTGCCATTTAAGATAAAGTCCCTAATCCTGCAAACATTTAAAATTAAAAACATTTACAAACTTAATCACAAATTAATCATAGAATCCATCAAGTCCAGCCCCCTGCCCAAGGCAGGACCAATCCCAATTATATCAACCCAGCCAGGGGGTTTAAAATTCATATTTTAAAATGTCTCTCTCTGAACCAGCAAGCTTTTTTTTTTTTCAAAACAGCTGAGTATTTGAGTTATATTTCTGCAGAGCAATACCAAGTAGCAGGCATAGTGACAAAGCTAACAGGACTTCTTACATCCCACTTAACTTCTGCAGTATGGGAGGAAACATACCAACAGCCTTAAAAGTCTTGGCTCACATTTTCTACTTCCCATGAGATTAGTGGTTTCAGACTGAACTAAAATATCCTGACCCGAAGTTCAAAATCATTAAGGACAAACAAACCAAAGTACCTGAGCATTTTCTTGTAAAAAATCGTATCTTTTACTCCTAGGTTGTATTTTAATTTAGCTAAACTATCAGGCATTTCAATGACCACAGATATATGACCCAGATGATAGAATTATTTTCATTTTGTACTATATTTAAACAATCTTTTCTTAAAGATAAATGTTCACATACCTACTTTAGGACATTTGGAAGGATCACCATTTTTAACATTCTGAATTAAATCGCTAGAAGAACGGAGAGATGGATAAAAGAAATACATCATCAAGGCATGTAAAAATGTTCAAATTTTTAACACATTAGCTGTAGAATGCATTCTGGTTTTGTTACATTTTATGGACTGGTAGAACTGAATTTAAAAAGCAAGATAAATATCATCTCAGATTGGTGTGGACCTCAATGAGATCTCTTTACTTACTGCAAGTCTCCTGTTTGATTAGCCACTGGAATGCACTTTTCAAAAGACTTAGACCATGCACAGTAAGGATCCCTTGCCAAAACACAATCCAAGCAGTATTTATATCGGCTGCATACTGAAACTGGGAGTTGTACCACTTGAGATGGAGATCCTACATACAGCAGACCCTAGAAAATCAGTATGGAGCGGTTATTCTATAGCACTGTGAGAGTTTTAAACTTTATGGCATTTGGACAGTAATTTCTGTGATTTGACAATAAATCAATCTAATACTTTGAAATAATAGATGACCAATGAAAGACCATGTGAATATATATAGTGCTTTGCGGAACATATGAAAAGACAAGATTGCTGGCTGGAAGAGAATGCAGTCTTTATGAAAACTTTTCCTTTTAAATTAAAGTGATGTAAATTTCCAAATGTGTGTCTGAAAGTTTAAGTTATATTAAAATGCAAAATAAATCCCAGACAAAATCTCATGTATGCTTTTATTATTAATCAGCGTGATGCTAGAGAACAGTACGTTGTATATACATCACATTGAAAAGCTAAGTGTACAATGTAAAAGAGGAAGGCCTGAAACATAGCATTATACCAAATCCTTTGCATATGGCACAAACAGAGGATCTACCTTTTTCGAAGACAGTTTGAGAGACTGCACAGGGGCTGGGGACTGAAACAGCTGTATCTCTTCCACAATGAACATCTCCCCCTCACAGTTGAGAGCTTTATGCAAATATCCATTATCTGCATAAAATGAAATGTATTTTTAAAGAGAACTAGGTTCAAACATAGTGTAACAGTTTAAAAAGTAATCAGCCTCATTTAGAGATTTGGAAAACAAATCTTGAGGACAGGATATTTCCTAAATGTTCCATAGCAATATTTTCTCCATTCACCTTACAATAGATAAGAAGTAATGATTTTTCTAAGCAAAGGAGAGACTCTGATTTTGGAAGATTTGCGCAGATTCAAGCTCTTCTGACTTGGAAGATTTCCAAACAGATTCTCAGTGTCCAACAAAACAAACATACAGTTTACTTAGAAGCTGGCTGGAAATTCCAAAATGGAAAGTCAGTTTCTGTACCCCAACTGTTTATGCAAAAATCTTAACCTTTCCTTCAAGGAATTCATGGCTTTTGGTAATAGCCTTAATTAGAAGTTCCTTAATCCGGTGGGAGATTCACCCATGTGCAGAAAATTTTGGTAATAGCCTTAATTAGAAGTTCCTTAATCCAGTGTGAGATTCACCCATGTGCAGAGAGCCAGCAACATAAGCTCATTTTGCAAGGGTAATCCATCTGGGGATTTTTCTACAATGAATGTTTGTAAAACCCTGGCATATTTTTAATTCCTACTTTATTCTTCTTTACAAATAAAGAGTGCTTAAGTAGAAAATAGCAATCAATGTAGACTTCCTGGTAAAAACAAAATAAACTGGGAGGCTACAAAGAAAATTATTATTCTGAATAAAATTAATGATAACACAGGTTATGAACTATTATCTACAAAAGTTTTAAAAAGGAAAAAAACAGACAATAAAACACCATTCATCAAACATTACAATAAGGCCTGGTCTGGGCTCTGAACTGACATCTACCTAACGACAGACACAATAGCTTCAGTTCAGCAAAGCACCCAAGTCTCACTGATTCAAGAATTAAGGCTATGTCTATACTGCCCCCATTTTGCGCAAAAAATATGCAAATGAAGCAAAGCATGGAATATTGCCATGCCTCATTTGCATAATTAATGAGGCTCTGTTTTGGCGCTAGAGGCTTTTGCGCAAAAGCCTCTTGCACAAAAACGGAGCCTCCATAATTATGCAAATGAGGCACAGTGATAGTCCATGCTTTGCCTCATTTGCATATTTTCTGCACAAGAGGCTATAGTGTATACATAGCCTAAGAGTTTTGCTGAAGAAGGGCCCATTGGATGAAATTTGTCCTCACACAGTATCTTACTATGGGAAGTAAAGCAGTTCAGCTAGAAACATCACTTGAAGGAAAAAGGAAAGTGCAAGCCCAACATATAAACCCACTGGCTACTGTCTGATACATTACAAAGTCATAAATTAAGACAAAGGATTTTTGGTGGAGTATTAGATGTTAGTAGATTCTTTTCCTTTTTCCAGGCTCAGAAAAATGTTCTAAAACGAATAGTGTATTAATAAATCTCCTCCCCTCCTCCCCTCCCCTGTAAAATAAAACCACTTACCTGTTCCTATAAACAGAACATCATATGTTTTGCTATCTAGGCCAGTGATTCTATCTACTACAATCCTGGTATAATTCGAACCTCTTTTCAGTAGCACTGGCCTATCCCCAATTGGATTTACAGCATTATCCATTAAAGGGTGGTCTCGAACAAACTGCAGAATTTTATCAGGCAAATCAAGTGAAGTGTTGTATCCAATATTCCGGGCAAAATTATCAATGCACTAGAAACAATGACCAAGAAACATGATTAAAACCATTTGCATATTCTACCAATTAAAACAACTATTACTATGTTCTAAATTGTTAACTATTTCTCCCTACTTCCACAAAAGAAATCCATCATTCACTATGAATGAAATTCACCCGAGTGCTATGTAAAGATGGTTTCCACCACTTAATCTCTGTGATGGATTGAGTAGGGGGTTTGTCTACATGAGGGACCTCCACACACACCCAGACCTGGCGTGGAGGAATGATGTCTCTGTGCTGGACACTGAACTGCGTCTATATTGGCAACATTTGGACTAGTAATTCTCAAGCAGAAAAGAAAATTAAAATAATATTTCATTTAGAAGAGAATAAATGAATATTTACAGCACCAGGACGTGGGAGTGGCACTTCTCCTCTGAACACCACCCATTTAACATGTGAATGTTCCACAGTTACTGGCCCTTTATAGTTTCCTGTGGTGAAGACTTCTTGGACAGTTTTCATACTGAATGCACAAACTGCAGAAATGTCCAACCTTCCCCTTGGAGGTGAAAAAAAAGACAGAGAAAATATGAATTATTTTGAGCTTTATACAGAAGGGAAGGTTTACAAACAACTTGCTTTTCACCGTGCATGTTGCTATTTGCTTTTTAGGGTTAGTGAATGTATGCCCATAAATACACAACTAAGACGCGTCAGTCATCATTCTTGTGATTTACCGAGAAAGGCTTCGGAAAAAGAGACACTGTGTAAAAGGCATATCTTGTTAAAATCCAGTAATATCCTCCAAATAAAAACAGCTGAAGAGATGTACCCCTTGACACTAGTTTTTTACACTTCATTGATAAATTAGGTGATTGCAAGCAGACAAGACTAAGCATCATGGTTAGGCAGCTTCTTACTTTCTACTCTTCACTTTTTATATATAATTCTCTCCTCTCCAAAGAAGATGCTCACAGCTGTTCTGGCCCTTGTGAAAACATATTAGGTAAATAGGGGGTTTGAATTCCATGATGCTAAAGCCCGTTTCTATAGAGAATATACAGTTTAAGATGAGTCCTTACAGAATCCCATTTATGCATACTGTGATATAAGTTATACATTGGGCATAAACTGATACAGCTGCAAAGTAATGCAAAATCCATTGATCTGGGTCTCAATCTAAGGGTTTTGGTGTCTTTACAAACCACCAAAGCTATCTTTTCATGATTATTTTGCCACTGCATAGTTCTGCTGCTGGTATATTTTGTCCGTATCTCTTTATATTACTAACACATACACACACACTCTCACTCTGAGATCAAATTCTTCAGCTCTAAAAACATATCTTGGAGTCCTGTTTTTATTTTCAGAAAGTACTAGATTAGACAAGTAGGCCTTGACAGAGGTTGCATTCGGAAGAAAGGTACTTCAGCTCCCAGTGGTTTCCTTTCATGAGGTTAGCACTTATCCTGTATCTTGAAAGGCCAGTGGTTTCAATTGGCAGTGGAAACAACCCAGGAAGAAGACATGGTTTTGGTCTACCTAAGTGATAAACAATGTCAAGTTAAGTTTAGCTAGTTTTAATTTTTCCTTCAGTCTGATGGAAAGGGCATAACTGAATTGTGTGGACTGGAAACCTCTTGGCTAGTTTTTAACTAAAAGCTTTAGCCCAGAGATTGAGAACACCTAACTTCAAAATATGGCATATCAAACTAAACAAGTCTGGTCCATTCAAATATGTGGAATAACTGATCAATTCTTATTCTGAGTCACTGACAAATGCCTGCAATCAGTCTATTAACACAAAAGTGAGAGCTCACTACTCAATTCTACATACATTAGAGACAAGTTACCATTGGAGGAAAGGGAAGGCAGTGAACAGATAGACCCTGGATTGGCTACTTCACCAGCTGGAAGTGATAGACCTCTAACAGGCTAAATAGGCACATGTATTAGTTCTATTATTAAAAGATTACTTTATTTGCAGTTATTTCCTTTATTAGTGTTACAATATTGTCTACCCTAGAAGGGTCAATCAAGATCAGGGCCGCACTGTGCTATGCAATGTACATATACACAGTGAAAGACAACCCCAACAAAGAGTGTGAAGGGTTCACTGTGATCCAAATAAGCTCGATTGTAATAAGAGACAAAAAGTTCAGAAGCTCTATTCAAATAGAGGATGGATTTGAATTCATTGTTGATTCTGGTGATAATAGCAACTTTGAGGTACTTTCATAATAACTGGTTTATTATAATTATTATTATATAATTTCCTCATATAATAAAAACCAAAAGAGAAAATACAGAGAGGAGATTATATCTTCAGTGAAATCAATTTCTAAATGTAGTTTGATGTGATAGGAGATGGAGGAGAAAAACAAAACCAAATAGTTTTAGCTTTTACAATGCAAATAACTAAACAATGCACATCAAAGTTACAGGAAAATAGTTACAGGCAGTCCCCGAGTTACGCGGATCCGACTTACGTCGGATCTGCACTTACGAACGGGGCTTTCTCACCCTGGAGCTCGCAGGCAGCGGGACCGCCCAGAGCGCAGCGGTCCCGCCACCTCGACCTCCGGGGCAAGAAAAGCTGCTCCGGGTGCCCCATGTCTGCTGGGGACCGTCTCCAGCAGACCAGGGGCACCTGGAGCAAAGCCGGGGAGGCGGAGGGGTCCCGC